AATCATTATGCTCATCAAGGTTGTTTGCGGTTAATTCCCATTCCAAATGATTCACCTGAGCTTCCCTTCAAACGGTCTGGCACTAGCCCGATTTCTAGCATCAATCTGACAAACTGAGGTCTTTTTAGAGCTTTGGCTGCAATGCACGGAAGTAGGACGAGGCTACGTTCCTGTGTATTCCCTCGAGATCAGCACTGAACCGTCGTGATGTCGAAGAGTACTTTTAAAATGTTTAACGGCAATATAACATGTCAGTCTAATGCATAATGACTTATCCACAAAACCTTAGAATAGTTCATGAAGACTGTGAAGAGAAGCCTCCTGTAGGGTAGCAGCTTATATCATTGTAGGGCGCAGAAGTCAGACATGCTCATCCGAAAGGAAAAGTTCTGAGTCCAAAGCATGCAAAACTTCTTTTCAATATTCTTTGGAGCACTTTCACTTCTCAATGGTTTAGTTGGCAAATTTACAAAGAGATTAATGCATAAATGCTGATTAAATTTGAGAGGTCAAAGTGTACTTTAATTCAATTCAAAGCTTGTTTCAAGCCTCTTCAAAGTTCGATGCTTAACTTGGGAAGCAAAACAAAAATGTTTCAAAGAACTTCGCTGAGTTAAATCCGTTATTTTTCTTCAATTAGGCTTTGCAGTGGAGGCTAATATTGTGCCTTTTCACCCCACTGCTGTTTCCGTCCCTTTTTAGCTGGGCGTACCTAACGCAGCTATACCAAGCTATTGCCTACAAAACCCACATCAACCTTCTGGAGCGTCATCGGTGTACAGTCTTTACGGGCGCCGCAAACAACAACAATGATTGTATATGGACAGGACAAGGACGATCAATGGGTCATCTCTATTGGCAGTTGAACGACGTGTGGGCAGCTCCAACTTGGTCCACAATTGACGCATCCGGTCAGTGGAAGATTGCTCATTACCTTGCGATCAGAGGTACGGCATCAATTACCCATCCAATTGGTCGAGCAATAGTGTCCAGAGTAAGAAATCGAGTGTTGATTAATTGGGCACCTCCAATCAACCCACTGGAGGATGACCAAATACGCCTTAGCGTTGTTTGTTCTCCTGTTCTTTCCTTCACTCTTCACCCGAAAGTGCTCTTTCAAAGCACTGACAATCTTGGACCTTGGAGACCAAATGGTTGTCCTCTACAAGTCACTAACTTCACTGTAGAATGGCTGCTTTCCAAGTGTTCATCAGGAGTTCTCACGACAATACTTGAAAATGCGATGATACAGACAAAGGATACGATGGTGCTACTGACTCCGAAAGAAATGGCGCACCTGTGGCCGGTGGCTGCGGGGTCTATTAAAGTGACATCGGTAAGGCGTGTGAATGCAAGTTCGCCCGAGGTCCAGAATCCGCCTTTTCGGTGGAACCAGGCATTCAAAGTGCACCTACGAGCGAAGAGCCCCGAGCTTTTCGTTTGGCTAGTGATTGATCCCTACCTCAACTTAGATGGCTGGTTCTCCAGCAACGCCTTCAATATGCTGACCTGTGGTAAACGCGTCCTCTTCTACTTTGTGCAAGGAAGGACAGCCGTCTCCGAAAAGCAATTGCAGAAAGCCATTAGAGTATACACACTTGCTTCAATTGCATCTGACCGGCGATCCTAAGAACAGTCAAATGCCAACTTATGATAGCTGAACTCCCATCAAGTGGTGGTCTTCTTCCTACACGGTTTATCAGTTTTCTTTCACTTTAACGAGTTCGTTAAATTTAAACTAACTGGAGTTACCAAGACCTCATCCGTCAACTATCAATTAGTGCGCATCTTGAGAAAACAGCGCCGTGAAGGTTGGCAAAATAATCTTCGATCATGCAAAATTTGGGATTTTTGACAAAATAGCGATAAGATAATGAGTGTCTGGATGAGGGTGTGGTACATTATATATGGATATAAAGCGCATCTGGCATGCTTTAGTCTTTAAAATAAAATGTACCAAAATTTGTTCATAGAGTCTTAGCTAGCTACCACCTGTCTTTAGGCTGTTACCATACTAATTGTAGCGCCTCTCCAAATGCGAATCCACTGATCCAGCGCGGTCCCGAGGTTGTGTGCTGATAGGAATCATTAGCACTTGGCATCGAAGGCGATAAGAGTGCCGGACAAATATCAAGTACACATTTTTGTTCTATAGGTCCCATTCCCTCAAATGAACGTACAGCACACAGACAATAACCGACCTGCTTTTATCATTGCATTTCGTTGTATTCACATGGCTGCGGCTAATGTCCCGATGAACACCATGGATGCAAATTCATACAGGATTGAGAAATGAGGGTCGACTGGCAATTGATTAGTAGCAGCAACCATCCAACAATCCGGAAAGCACAGCACTGGTATCCTGTTCTTACACAGGAGCATAGCGTCAGGCACTTCTCATGAATTCCAACAACGCTTTGCCAAAGTGACGAAGCTCGTGCCTTTGAAATGGAGCTAGGTTAATGTGACGGTAAATAGATGCTTTGTGCTTAATGAACTAGGGTCGAGAAATTCAACTTCCCATTTGCTGCATCAAATACCCTTAAGACGGTATGGATGTTATAAAAAGTACCTTTACACGAGTTCTAGAAAAACATTGCATGCATTGTGCACAGCTCCTAACCTTCAGTTAGAGCCCCCATGAAGCTCCTGGCTGATTTGAAAAATCTAGCGACAAATTCAAATGTGACTGTGCTACAGCAAAAGAGGACATTGATGGCATTTGATACAAGAAGTATTCAGCTGAGGATCTACGTAGATCTGCTTTTATTCTCAGCAGGAAGGGATGGGAAGTATAGATATATATATATATATATGTATATAGATAGAAGGCGGGTGGTGAAGGAGTCTTCGAAGCGGGAGGTGGATCCCAACTACTTAATAACTAGGAGAGCGAGAAGTCAAACATCACGCACAAACATAGAGCATCTAGTGTGGGAGGAGAGGAAGGAGGGTAGAAGAAGAATGAAAGTAAGGAATGATTTGGGATGTATTTGTGATGGTGATCGCAGGATCTAGGATGGGGGCCTGCAGCTTCACAAATCGTGTTCAATGAATAGAAAGGGTGGTTGTGATAATCGCTTGAGCACCTCAACATAAAAAGAACGAAGTCGGTAGGTGTTGTTGAGTGAAATGCGAGCAAGCGAGAGAGCGAACGCACGCGCTTGTGTTTGCGCGCCTACTTGGTAGAATGCAAAGAGTGGAAGGTTTAGGGAAGGAATGAATGGCCGAAGTTAGCAAAATATATGTATATATATATATATATAACGGCGGGAAACTGCTCCTAAGTTGAGATAAAAACACCGACATATGCATATGCCCATTAGATGGTGATTGTGGTGACAATGAGAGCAGTGTTGATTGCACGATTCAACGCTGGTCCAAGACTTGGTAGCAAAGGGATAGGGGAAAGGAGCGAAGATTGGGAATGTAAATGTGTGCGTGGGTAATTTGAGAACTAACGACTCAACTACTCTCTATTGAATTGAAGGTACTAAAATAAGAGACAATTATTAGAAAAAAATGGGGTTGGATGAAGGTGACTTAATCACAGAGTAGGATTATTAGATGGAGTGAGGATAGAAGGTTAAAGGAAGCCCATGGAGAGCCCGCAAAAAAAGTGTCTGTTTTCCTTCACCTTCGCTCCCCTCACACTGATTGTAGTCAACTAAGGAACGCAGGAAAGGTGAGGACTTGGATCAATGAAAGCTTGGAGTTGGGCTAGCTTGAGTCTGGAAGGTCGACTGGATGGGCATTCCCTCCACCTCAGTGTCCACCAAAGAAGTGAGCGAGAGAGGCTTAGGACACTGGACCATTGCGCGATGTAAGGATGTCACACTCTCGCGACTTAGACCTGCGAGACGACTCGGCAAACTTGCTTTGAATGCTTCTACCACTCGGAGCTAAAATAAAAAATGAAAATGAAGTCGACCACTCATTCCGACGGCACTCTTTAGTTCAACGGGTACGAAGTCATGCAATGTGAGAGAAGTAGTCTTGAGGTAGGGGACGCATTTAAAGTGCGTTTCCATGAACATGGAGGAAAATGAGGTAAGACGAACACGTTCTTTTAGTGTTCGGGACAATTTTGAAAATGCATGAGTACGAGGGATTCATGGTCAATAAGGAGAACAACAACGAGTCAGAGAGCATGCTGAGCAAGCCCGAAACAAAATGTTTTCCATGCCGCACTCACTCGTATTTGTCGTAGTTGACGAGAATTGCACAAAAGTATCGTGAACTATACGGGGCACGAGGGCAGATTCTTTCATTCTTGGGATTCGGAGACGTGAGACTGTCTACATAATTACACGTAAAAAACAAGCACGCACACACATACACATATTCTCTTGCTAGGGGCGCACACAAAATATTTCTTTCCCTCTCGCACTCCTGCTCTGTTGTGTGATGAGGGCGATTGCATAGGTGGGTGTGAGTATTGGCGAGAACAAGGAAGAAGGGGGGAGAGACGAGCGAACGAACTAGTGGGAGAGAGGAGTGACCGAGAGACTATGTAAGTGAAGATGTGGAAGAGCCCGAGGAAGAGGACCTCTGACGAGTCTGACTCCGAGTCATTGAGGGAGGTGGTGGAGCAGGTGTCTTTTTGGTCGATTTGCGCCGTCCACCTCCCGAATTCGACGCAGTGCCTACTTCTATCAGCACATCTGCATCTATAGAGGAGGTCCATGGTAGTGTTGGAGTGCGGCGGTCCTCTTCCGAGGGGAGCCACAGTGGTGTCTGGTGGCTGAACTTATCTCCTTCCCCGAACATCTCGCTCTTCACCTCCTGAGCCTGGGGCTCTTGAACATCCGGCTCCTCAACTAGACTGTTCATGTCGTAACTCGTTGAGCTCGGCTCCTCAATCGATATGGCTTTCCAACCACCTCTCTCTTGCTCATGCTCTTCCTCATGCTCCTCCTCCCGTAGCTGATGCTCCGGTTGGAGTTGTCCATGTGGATTGAATGACTCGTCTTCAGCCAGCATTGTGGGCGTGCGATAGAACTCGCGAATATTATCTGCCATCTGGATGTCATTGGGTGAATATTTTGGCTGCTTTTGCTGATTTTGTTGCCGCTGCTGTAGATGTTGGGCCATGGATGCCGCTCGAACTTCGCGACACTTGGCCTGACGCTGTTGGTGCAGCGCCATGGCAATATGCTGTCGTTCGGTCGAATTATCCAGACTGTTTCTGAAGGCGTGCACTGCCTTTAACTGAAATGAGTCGGTTGACAGGAGTCAGGCACACCTCCTGATGGTCAATTATTAGCAATTGTAAATGTTAAAGACCATGTGGCTGTTGAATTTAACGGTTGCTTCTTACCTCGTTCTAATGGCGTTATCGCAATAACTTTGTGGCATTGAGTCATCACAAATTCGTAACTTTGGAAAATTATATAAATTCGATACCGACACAATCGATTCCATTATTAGATGACAATCGAGGGTGGATAAAATTTGTCAGAAAGACTTGCCATTCCTTCCCCATGTCCATTTGATTCAAGCAAACATTATGGGTAATTCGAATATTTGATCAGAGGCTCTAAAACGATACTTATGGTGTGTCAGGCCAAGAGACGCATACTAGTTACCCTGGTGCCATAAAATTCTCCCTAAACCACCTTCCCTTTAGACCTCGAAGTCTCTGGGGTGGGGGCAGGACCGGCAACCACGCCCCTGCCTCCACACCCGCACGCACGCACACACACATGCACCCCAGTGCACGAGCCGAGCCGACCAATAGGGGGTTCCCGCTGAGGGTGCAGCAATAATCACGCGTCAAATTGCCACAACTGCCGACTGCCGCGTTGGACACAGCAATTCTGCGGCGGCATATGCAGCGATCGATGCATACGATTAAATAACTTATCAACCAACGATACCACCAACCATCGTTTGGGAAAAAGAACGGAACGGTGATAATGGGATGCTTTTGCTAATTAAGACCTAGTATTCATTGGAAAAACAAGGACTTTGTTATTTTCTCCGAATTCATTCATCTATCCATTTCATTTCACGCACACATCGAACAGGAGACTTAACAAACGTAAAATCTCAACGTGCTAGAAGATCATAATTTCGTCAAAACATCAGCGCGACAGCAAAGTTACGATGTGATCAGGGGTAAAGTACAAAGATAATCCTCAAGACGACGAAATGCAGTATTATGGTTCGGCTTCATCATTGGAGCACAACAAAGATCAAGACCAGTTAAATTTCGCCCCTACTTGTCAAACTCGGCGAACAGTAACGCTACCGTAACACTACCACATTACAAACTTCAGGCACAGGTCATCGCAGTAAGAAATGATACTTGTAGTTGCCGCAAGCCAGTGACCGCGTACACTTGCCATTGTTTCTACCATGAAACTGGGTTCAAGGCCAATATCAGCCGGCCTTCTTTTTGTTGAAAAATTAATAACTTGCACTGGATGAAAAATTTTACAAAAAAACTTACCTATACCTTGCAAGTTGTGCAGCTACAAAACGGCAAACCAGATTTGACAACAACGGGTTTGACCCCTCACAAGCCAGCCTTACTCAAAAGCTGAAGCGCTACTACGAATAGTTATCCACGTTAGTAGCCAGGGTACAAATAATAACCGGGCGAACAACAGAGATTTCAAAAAATTGATAATTTCGGGGAAGCACATAGCACATAAACTAGACGGCGTGCGAAACTTGAAGATAATAGAGAAGGACGGCGAGGAACAACGTCAATAGTTGGGCAGTCGTCGAGGTAGACATGCTGGGAAGGAGAGCGGAGGTGAGAGGAGGGGTGATAGGGACAACTACTTTGGCTGCCATGGTTTAACGCATGTGTGTATGGAAGGGTGTATTTGTGATCACCAGAGCCAAGAGCCTCCTCCCACAGCTGCATACCATAGGCAATGCAACACTTCTTCTATACACATTAGGAGGAGGACATATAGGAATCTAATGGTACCAACGGGTTCAGAATTGAGAATCAAGGTATGCCCCATCCCATGGCCTGATCAGAGCCACCAGGCGATTTTTTTACACTTTTTTGAATGTGAAACCCTTCTTTAGTTAATATTGTTAACGATACATCTACTTCAGTGCTTAAATGGTTCAACAAAGCAAGCCGTCATAAACACAACTTGAATAATGGTTAGTATACCTATGGCAAAAAGGCGCTAAGCCCAAGAGGTAGTAAATCATGAATGCAATAACGAAATACAAAAATTTAAATTCTAAATCTTAGAGTAAAAATGTGCAGCTATGATTCGAAAATGTGTATCGAGGAAAGCCATAACTCCTGTACCAAAAGGAAAGCTATTCAAGCTAGTGCGAGTGGAACACTCGGAGGAATGGGAAATAGGTAAAGCAGGATTAATTTTGCCAGGGGAGTGGCTGATCATGTGAAGTGAAAAGATCCCTTGGTAAAAAAAGAATAATTTATTAACTTGAAGAAAGTGGGAATTTTCAGTAGCTGCCTGCTTAAAGTCCGCCGAAGTGCGACACCCACGAGGAGATCCTCCCACACCTTCAAATAGACCACTAATTTATTGTACCATCCCATGTCACTCTCTTCAGCCCCTATTTCTACAGCAATCACTTTTGGTCGTAAATTTGTCTATGCACATTCAGTTCGACCTCTCTACGATTCGAGTGGATATGGGTGAAACAGAAGTTTTGCGATAGGCAACACTCTCGAGGTATTGGCATTGTTGGGAGGTTCATTAGGCCATGAATTAAGGACGGAGTGAATGTTCATTGAGATTAGAGGCAAGACACAAGTCTCCTAAAGCAAAGGAACATACGCAAATGTCTAGTGATAGTAAAATTAACTGCGTAGGTGGCGACGGGGACAAGAGCAAACTTTCGCGCCTTAGGAGAGCGGAAGTTTCATTCACTCACGCATGCACAGCGCACCTACTCACCAACACTTCATTTTGTCGGTGGAAAGCGTGTGCGCGTGTTGTACATCCTCACCCCAAACGGTAGGCAGTTTTTCGTCTCTTGGGTGGGGCGGAGAGGAAAAAGAAGGCGGAGACGGAGGAGAGAGTGGGAGAAGCGGCGGATGACACGAAAGACGCGCAAATACACATACCCAAGCAAAAAAGTGTAGCCTTAGAACGGAGCAAGAGTAGTGCCAACTGTACTAACAACAACTCTCAATAGAGTCGCCCATCGACCCTCATGCGTGCAGTGAAAGTTCTATCTCCATCTCGATTACAAAAGAATCCAAACTGATTAAAAATAACTTCAGAACGAAGGAGGAGGCAAAATGACCTTCAAACGTTTTAGTTGGCCAAACAGTCCAGGCCCGAATTCGAATGGTCATCTGCAAAGCAACAATAAATTTTTGGAACCAAGATACGAACATCAAATTCCAACAGACTGATAACGCAAACAGCTAATATGAAATCGAGTTATAAAGAGGACGCCATACGCTGAAAAGTGTTGCGATTTTTAAAAAGTGAAAGATCGCAATCTGTCAATATCTGGAATTGATAGTGCGACTGAAGCCTGTAAAAGACTCCTTCGCCAACATGCAATAATCCGGTACACAAGTGATCAAGTTTAAGGTATTTTAAAGGTCTAAGCTTTGGATTTTTCAAAAAAATTCCAGTGGCGGTAGTAGTGGTATCAACTTTGACCATGAGTGCACCCATCCAATCGCAAATCCATGTCTTCATGATTGAGTGGTGAAACGGTTAATCGACGATGGGTAAAAATGCAAGCTCGCGTACAGCTTTTAGATTTGAGCGATTTCAAGTTTAGGATTCGAGTATACTCAATCAACACTTGAAACAAACGAACCAGAAAACATTTGATACCTATCCTTGAGTGTAAGATTTCTACAAAATTCAGACACTACAAGTCCACTGGGCCGAATTTCAAGAAAAGCAAATAAATTAAGTCTTCTGAGAAGGTGTCGGCTATAACACGCAGCAACCGAATACGGGAAGGTAAAAAAACCAAAAAATACGCAAGTGTGATGAAAGCTTAGTAGGCGGGTTTTCGATTTGAAAAAAAATCACTTATCACCTTTATTACGCAATTTCCGAATCTTCGATGTTACCATTAGCATGGCTGTGCGAGATTGTTAGGGTCACAAATGTAACTTCATCCAACTGATACCAAAACCACGGCCAAAGCATGGCCATAGTTTCTGATTTGTCTCTCTTATAAACCAACAGAAGGAATTACCAAAGGCTACAAGTCTACTTATTACCCAGATTTTAAGAGTCATGCTACGATTTAGTTTTCTGAAAATAGTCCAGCGGGAATCTAACTGATAGCTTGTCCGACCCCAAAAATTTTCCTAACAAGTAGTCAAATCCATCGACAGTCGTCTAAGAATGACACTTTTTAAGACTAGGTTTCTTCTTTATAATTTGGTCAGTCTTGGAGTAGGACGTATGGGGACTCCTTAGCCAAAGTTGAACACTGACCTATCGCAGTGCTATGCGTGTCGCGAATGCCCACCGAACCTCCGTGAGTCCGGTTATGTGCATACCCCAGTGCCAAAAGGGCAATCAATCAGGTGAGCCTAGCATCGTGCCAGCCAAGGATATTGACGAGTATACAAATTGAGGAGAGCAAGTTTCCACTGGATAAATCGGGTGATGCGAAAAAGGGGCAATTATAAAATAGTTTCCTTTTGTCCGGACACAAAAGCAAGTAAGTAAATAGTAGAAAACACTATTAAATGCATGCAGACAACTGCACAAGGATGTGGCTTACATTAATAGCAAAAACATTGCAAAGAATACAGTCGGCCTTTACAAGAAGGCAGAATTTCGGAAGCACCTATTTGACCTTCACAAAACCTCCCTCAGAAAGTGTAATGACCTCATATAAGGGGATGTCCGAAGTAAAGTTAGCTTGCAATAGGGCAATGATTTCCGCTTTAAGCAACAGACTGCAGTGAAATTTTTGCTGGTTCATTAAATGGCTCACTGCCTTATGCGACAAAAAATAACAGGAATTCACGGAAACTCCGTTTTGAAGTGGTTATGAAGACATTTGCACACATCAGTGTAGAAGAACGATGGTAAATAAAGTAACACGCTGACAATGGACTCAAACGTCCTAAAGACGTTGCAAAAAAGTTGCGTACTGCTGCATCATTGGAGCAACAGAAAATATCGGATCAAGTCAGTAGCTGAATGCCATCACTAGTAGATCTTTTTTGCAAACATGTTAGTTGGGGGAAAAGTTGCTAAAGCAATTTATCATTAAGGGAATGATGTTTTGCCATCTCCATTCCTTGGAAAAGCGCATAAATGCGAGGGCCGTTTGGAGCAGCTTTGCTTTAATATATGGCGAGTTCAAAAGTGATTGGAAGAACAAGTTGCTAGTAATTCTTTTTCAAAAAACTGTATGGATCATAATAACGCCAGAAAGCACCACAAAAGAGCCACGGATAAGGAAGACCAATATTAACGACCGGCACGATCTCACTGTTATAGCCTACCTGATGGCCCCAGTGGGAATCGTTAAAGCAGTCAGGTAGTGAACGAACTCTTTTCATCACGCCTCTTCCTAAACAGATGAACACATAGAAAAAAACTGTGAACTCGTGCATTGCCACACGATTTATTCTCGTATGCGACCCTAAAAGGTGCATTTGCATCAAAATGACTGCTACAGTTGACATCTACGTTGCAGACAAAATGGCTTGCACGAAGGAGTGAAGTTTAGCCCTAATGACTGTCAGAAAGTCTCTGAATGATAAGCGAAATCAATTATTTCCAATGATAATAGGAAAGCCCACCTCCAGTTATCTTGAAGACAAACTTAAGTCATCCACCATAGAAAGACGAGCTTAGCAACCGGAAGCTCTTTAAAGGCAATTAACAGGGATTACAGAAATGACACGACGCGAGCCAACTGGTCTAACAGATTAACCCACTCTGACGCTAACAAATGACAGGGTGTGGAAAAAAAACTTTAATTGCCTCAGCCACTGGGTAGTGTAAGTGGCAGAATATTTGCACCTCTATCATCTGTAAAAAGACATTGGCCACCAAACTTTGACTTCGAACTTAAGTCGTATTGGCTTAGTGTGACATTGGTACACCGAAAATGCATTTTAATGATAGGGTTGCAAGTCAGATTCACTCTCCAATATTCGTCGGCTCCGGAGGACGATGTGACATCAAATGTTACACATTAAAAACTCAAGAAGCGAACCAAATTCGCGCAGAGAACAGCCAGTAAGTCAGCTGGGTTCTCGAAAATGGTTGTATTTCTTTTTAAAGTTGTAGTCTACCGAAATTTCTCCCTTTAAGTTGGCACTGTTGAGAGACTCGTAGAAGAACAAGTAACACCGATTCCAAATCAGTACAGTCCCTACGTTACGATAACTATGCCAAAACCCAGATGGAGCAGAAGCCATACACCGTATAGTGAATGAGCAAGTGTTTAAAAAAAGGACCAAGGGAAATATGTCCAACATAGTTACCAGCTCTTCAACGGTCCTTTCCTACAAGCATCATTCCACTCTGACCCTCAAGAAACGTCTGCTTTGACTACTAACTTTTACTCTGTCATTCGAATACACGAATGCACCTTCGAGAGAGTAGTGACAGTGAAGTGTTGAGTTACCCACTTTGTCTTTGTCCCTTCAAATTCAAGAGTTGATAAAGAACAATATTCAAATTATGAAAGCCTCTAGACTATGGCAAGTGATCTATGTAAGAGGAGTCGTGAGTATGTGTAAATAGTTAATCACATCCCTTCCCCAAAAGGATCATTGAAGCAGCACGGACGCGATTTTTGACTGTGTCGGACGGTCGTACCTTCCCGTTATTTTCCTTAATAATTAAATCTAGCTACGAATTCAGAATGGTCATGAAAAGCGTGCACGCGATTTTCCGAATCAAGCAATTTTATCGTTCCATGGAGGCAGGGTTCGAACACTGATTGCATGTTACTGAATAAATACAATGCACGCAAAGTGAACAATTTATTAAACCGATCTGATTGGGTATCAATGGGCAAAGCTAAATACTCACACACAGAAGGATACGCGCATTCACATAAACTGTGAACAATCCGAAAGTGAAAGCGACCAAAACCATTTTGAATATAGCAGAAGTTAAATCGAATGCAGCGGATGTTTTATTTGTGTTGAACTCATAGCACAAGAAAGTCCTATTTCCCCCATCTTCCTCGAAACGTCGTCACAATATTATAAAGCCAAGATGTAGCATATAGGCAAAGACCAGTTGAGCAAGGCAATTTTTGGACATCAATTTCACTCAAGAAAGGCAAGTAAATAAACGCCTTTGCAAAAAGTTTATGAGAAAGTTTGTATGAGAAAAGTCTCATAAATGCATGTGTTTTATAGAATTTCCTTAAATCTCTACGCTGCTTCAACGCGTTCAATTTTCTCCGATGGGAAAAGTCAGTTTCCTCTTAAAACGAGTCATGATTGACTGACATACACGCTCTTTCAAATCAAACACTTAGTTTATCTTAACGGTCAACCGCATTAATATGCAACTGGCGCTTCTTGAAAGGTAAACTACGAGAACTAGACAGACAGCCTGGAAATTAAATAATTTGATAAAGTAGTTTCAGTTAAATAAGACTATAGTTCATCAAATTAATGAAACAACATTTTCAGACATTCAAAGTTAGACAGTTCGTTGATTTGTTAATTAATTGGATGTCTCCTAAGTATGGAGAGAGCGGCGTCGAACTTAGCAAACAGAAATTCATGGAATAAACAACACGCTTAGTAAAGCAAGAAGAGATTGATGAAGCAAACGGAGTCTTCCAAAACTCACAAAACCATTCTGCTATGTAAACATAGAGTTGCTAATGTTCATTAAGGATACAGAGTTTTGATATACTTGGCCCAGGCTTGACTCCTCCCAACCCCAACTTACCAACTGAACAACCTAAATTTAATTAGCACCTGATTCGGCTTTTGTCTACCTTCCAAAGAGAAAACTCCACCTGAGGGCCGCGTTTAGAGCTATGCACTTGAGACAATTCATTTAAATCACTCGACACCCCTATAACAAAACATAGAGGCGCTTGTGATTCCGTCCAAATATTTTGCGAATAAAGGATTGATAATACAATAAAAGAGTTTATTTAGGGTCGACCCGACACATCCTCGATTCCAATCCTTCTTAAGCATGCAGCAAAACGTATTCAATCATTTGGTTATTAAGTCAAATGTTTTGGCACAGCAAACGGGCATTAAAGTTTGGTATTAACGTTCACTACTAAATAAACAACCACCACAAAGTTGGATCGCACATAGGGAAAGCGGAGTTTTCACTTACTGGATTTGTGAGAAATCGTGTACCACACATAAACTATAAAATAAATTTATTCTGATTCTAGAAAAACCACTCTCTTCGGCTGCTGAGCTAAATAAGCACCACATATGGAAGTTGGGACGACTCTGAAGTCAAATCAATTCAACTTGATGTCAAATTTGGACGGAGGCAAGAAGTAGACAATAAAGACATGTGTGGAATCTGACTAGCCAAACATGAATCTACTGGCTTTGATGATCAAATGACCCCGCAATTAAATACCATACCCCATAGAGTGGCAAGCGTAGGCCATTCCAAAGTGCTGTCTGAAAAAAAAGACCACTTTATACAGCTACAATTAGTTGACGCTGGTTTGGCAAAGATAAAATTTGCTTTGAGCAATCAAATTATCAATGTCTTGATAAACAAAACTTGTGCCCAAGTCTGAGAAGAACAGATTTTACCACAATCGCAACCCCTATTAGCAACAGTTTAAGTTCAATGATCTCAACTAAGTAGTTTATTCAGTTGCTCTCCATAAAACTTGATCTCACTTTGCTTAAAGCAGTCACAACGTTAATGCGATACTATCTTCTTAGAACAGTTTAATCGCATTTCAATGATGTGGGATACCTCTACTTGTGTACCAGGCTTAGAGGCATTTAGTTATGGTCTATGTGTGCGGTCGCAGTCACAAAAGACGACCGTCTTCAGTCAGCTAAATGGGTAAGACAAATCGGCCATAAAACCAGTAAACGGCCTTGAATGGAGTGTTTATGTACATCTGAGGTGTTGACGAGAGATATTCAAAGACCATATGCACACATCCGGTTTTGAATTCGAGTAACTGTGTCTGTATATATTTCAGCGTCATAAAAGTAGATACATACACTAATTGCGCTCTTGACACGATCGTGGATGAGAGGTGATGCAGGTGGTAAATGTGGATAGGGAGTGAGTGGAAGGAGGAAGGAAGAAAAAGACATAGGGAGAGGGCAAGCATGCATACGGAGGAGGGAGACGAGTAGAAGACAGACAACCCATTAGAATAGTCTGAGCTACAACGTGACGCCATAGTAGTGTACGCAGCACATCGATGTGCTACGCGTTGATACATAAGTGGATATATACATACATTTATAGGTATATGCCATTTTACACACTTACTGCATTCATCTGGTGGGTGAATGGGAAGGTGTAGAGGTTCGTGAAAAGAAAAGAAAACGAGAGAAAAAGTGAATGCGCCTGAGAAATGAAAAAGAGAACAAATCAACAACAACGATAGAGACTAACGGGTGGGTGGAAACAGCGATGGAGAGAGTGAGTAAGGAAACGATGCAGAAAATGTATACACTAGGGGACAACATTCTGAGCCCACACATACACGAGCGCGCGAACACGCCCGCCCACATGCGACTACTTCGGTCACATTATCGATTATCTTCGGATTCATCGTCACCATCATCATCAGCATCATCATCTACCGATTCTTCGGGCTCCTCCTCCAGGCTCCCGATGCCACCGAGGCGGTACTGTGAGGAGAGACGGCTGTCCTCCCCAATTCCCGTAGAGGAGAGATTAACGCTCTGTCTCCGAGCAGCTAGTACAAGGGGATGCTGCATGCCCTCGGTGTTGATTTGACTCAGTGTGAAACGACGCACACGACCCATGAACTCATCACTACGATGATCCAACTCATGATCACGGGTGGCCTATCCCAATGTTCAAACATGC